TCGTTGATACTGATTAGAAATATTTTCGGTGTGCTTAGTAGCATCCGGTTATTTAATGTGTATTTACCAGTGTTATTAAGACCGGACCGAGTCGGCCGGCCGGACCGCTAAAGCCGCCACCTGGCCGTAAAACCGGCTCGGACTAGTCATTTAGCCGTTACAGTTTTATGAAGCGGTCAACGAGTGGCCGAGGTGGTTAACCGCTCGAACCGGTCGCTCGATTTTCCCCTTCCGACCGTTCTGTTTAATAAAAAAAATTGAAAAAGAAAATAAAAAACGAAAGGCAAAATTATGGGGCTTTGAAAGAAACCCTAACTCTAATTCAGTTTTCGTCTTCGACTCTTCGTGAACAGAGGGAGAAGAATGGCGCCAGACCCTGCCGCCGTCAATACTTCCTGTCCTAGTTTCTGGTCGGCATCGTTGCCATACCCAGTCAGCGTAGCAGCTCCCAGCTCGTCATCGCCAGTCTATATCCCCGTGCCTCTTCTCGTAGCAACTCCTCCGCTCCGTCGTCACTTCACGTCGCCATCCCCAGTCCTTGTAGTCACTCCCCGCTCCCGGTTCCCCGCTTGCATGTTTTGGAATTGTTAGGAGTTAAGAGTGTAATTTACTAATTTAATCATGGTTTACCATGATTAATAAGGGTCCACTATTTATACTGATTGTTTATTAGGTATGGATTTCTAACGGTTTTTAAACGGTTTAATGCTGGTTGGACCGCTAAAGACCGAGTCGCTCACATTATCGGGTCATACTCTAGTTCGCTTTTGACAACATTAGTATTTACAACATATGTGAACATCCAATCATTGTGCCTTTTTGGCAAAACCGTATGTAGGTTTGAACTTATTCAAGCCGAAGGTGGTCGGCGAGTAATTATCATGTCAAGTCGGGTAGGGATGGCAAACCAGGCCCGCCCCGGTGGATTTTCCCCGATCTGATCTGTAATGGGCAGATAAAATCCGCTTCGTTCTTAAATGGGGCGGATCTCGACCCGATCCGCTCTTAAAGCGGGGCAGATATGGATATAGTTGTTGTCTGCTCTGGCCCCCTCCGCTTCGTCGAACTAATGTCGTGTGAAGTGGAAGAAGAAAGGCCCTTAGAGATTAACAACTACGAGAAAGGAGTAATATTAGGTGGAGCACGCGTGCCCCTGTAGTCAAAAGCTGCACCTTTCAATTTAGTAAGTGCATGGTTAGTCACTGAGATTATAAAAAACGTTCAAGTTTGGTCACTCGAAATATTTAAATCCATTGGTTATACTTCAGTTTACTAAAACCGTTCACGTTTGGTCACTCTCCGTCCAACTCCGTTAACTTTTGCTGATGTGGCAGTCAACTCTCAAAATTGACCGTTAACTTAGTGACGTGACGTGGCTCGTACTCAGTCCGGTCAAAACTTCTCTCCGGCGACCACGTCATGCCACTCTGCTCAACAGCCATCATCGTCGACAAGGTCAAGAAAGGCTCAATGGTATCAATCCGTCCCGGCGGCGTAGATAGCGCGGCGCCGGGAGGGCATTTCGGGGATAGGAAGGAGTTCTGGCAAGTTGCGGGGAGAAAAGAGGGCAGGATCGTAATTACGTAGCGGGAGGGATTGTGGAGCGAGGGATTTGTGGAGATTGGCGGTGGCGGCGGGAGCGACGAGGTGGTGGTTGGCGATTGCGATGAAGGGAATTATAAGCAAGCGGCCGATTCGGAGGTGGAAGGGCGAAAAGAAATTAGGTTTTTTATTTTTATTTTTATTTTTTAATGAATGTAATAATGAGGTGGAAAATATAATAGTTATTTTTTTATTTTTAATAATTTTTTAGTTTCCACGTCACTAAGTTAACGATCAACTTTGAGAGTTGACTGCCACATCTGCAAAAGTTAACGGAGTTGGACTAGTGGCGGATCCAGAAATTTTTTGTAGGGGTGTTCTCTTCCAAAAATTGAATTAAATTAATAATTAAATTAAATAATATATAAATAATAAAATATCCAATTAGTATAAATGTTGACAAAAAGCCACGATGTGTTTTCATATTTCGAAAAAAATATAAGATAGATTTGGTATGTACACTGCTCAACAAACAGTATATCCTACCAGATCGCATATTCAATTTCTAACCTTGTTCATGATGTAATTCAAAGTTGAAAAGACTGTTTCAACACTTGCAGTGTTACCATAAAATCAATTTAAATTAGGGTACCCCTGGGGATAAGAAATCGCGTTTTCACCATTACATAGTGTTTAAAATATAACAACAAATGAGTTATAACCTAATGGAGAAGATGTTAAATAATAGTAGTGTCCTAGATTTGAATAACACAGAGTACCACTTATATTTTTTTAATCACGCAAACTACTATCGAGGGTAAGATAATCATTTATTAAAATTTTAGAGGTATCCCAGATTACTAATTATATTTTGTTTATCCATACGAAACTACTACAGGGGATTGAATAATCGTGTTCCCAAAATTTAGGGGTGTCCCGGGACACCCCTAAAGCATCATGTATCCGCCACTGAGTTGGACGGAGAGTGACCAAACATGAACGGTTTCAGCAAAATGAAGTACCGCCAATAAATTTAAATATTTCGAGTGACCAAATTTGAACGTTTTTTATAATCTCGGTGACCCGATTATGAATGACAGGGTAGAATTTTATCCGCCCCGTGCGGGACAAAGCTCGGGACAAAAACCATCGACCCGTCTCGAAGCATTGAGCAGAGCAGGTCACAAATTAGAGGACAGGCCAGATCACGGATATAGCCGTATCCGCTCCAAACATAACCCGTTGTCATTCCTAAAGTCGGGCCTGGTTCTATTCGGCCTCATGGTGGTTCTATTGGGCCTGACGGCAGATCGAGCAGAGACCCAGCTACAAGGACAAATTCAACGGGACCGACGTGGAGTCCACGGACCGCAGCGTGGTGTGGGCGAAGTACCAGAAATACACAACCCTCTCGTTTTACCACCATCACATTTTAAGCTTTACTCACTGTCACTTCGGCACAAAAACTTCAATTGTTGTGGCTGTTGGTCTGAGAAGAAACAAAGTGAAATGATAATTACTTCTTTCCAAGAGCAATTACACCAGAAAGGAACAATTAGTTTGTGTCCTTCCATTAATGCCAATTACACCAGAAAGGAACAATTAGTTTGTGCAGAATCTTCATCTTCAAAACAATAAAAGGCTCTTTTAAGCACACCTTCAAACATATCCTTTTAATTGATAATAACATAAGCAACTTAAACTTTATTAGGCGCTGATTTATTTCTAAGAAAAGAAAAGATTACATCCGACAAGTTATTCTATCAGATGACAACATCATGACAATTACGAGGGCATACAAACAATCATAGTAGGTGTTACTGAGTCAAACTAGAGCTTCCAGGAGATGATGGATATCTCCAGAAAAGAACAGAAGAAACAGCTCCTCACATTGATAGAGAGCACTAGAATCAAGAGGTCGACACTGATTAGAAGTATGTCCGCATGCTGAGTCATTTGTGCTAAGTATCATCCTGTCATTCAATGTTTATCTACTGAAACAATAAATTAATGTCTTTTTTGGGATAACTATATATAGCTCTAACTTATCCGACCGCTATTGACAGCACAAACAGCTCTTGCTTTTATCAGGCACTGTTTTACTTCCTACAGAAATAAAACAATACATCAGACGAAATTCTACTATCAGATGACAACATATACTACGATACCATAACGACTATGAAAGCACACAAACAATCATAATAAGTTTGCGCCAACTCAAGGGGCAGTAACTTCACTTACTGTGAGTCCGAAATGAAACAAAGTGAAATGACAAATGTGGTTTTCCTTCTTCCCAACTGCAATTTCACCATGATAATGACGAAACTGAAACCTCTGCCACCAAAGCACTCATACTCATATCATAGTCCTGCTCACAGCTTTGAGTTCCATGTGCATGTCGGACCCCGTCAAAACCCGAGACTGGTTCGGATTACTCTGTCTTAAGGGTGTATTTGATGAACTGCTCTTTCACTACCAGTTGGGACACAGAGGCCTACAAGTTGGTCTTCTAGCGGTTTAATCTTGTGCTCAAGTTAAGTTATTTCGATTGGTTTGCATTCTAAGATCACATTGCATAACAGGGAATGTACTTATAACCAGGATAACAACTTTAAAGCATATGTATATATATGGTTCTAATTTATCTTTTCGTCATTGACAACATAAGCAACTCATGCTTTTATTAGGTGTCGTTTTTGTTTTTAAAGAAAGACAACAGTACATCAGACAAGTTCTGGTATCAGATGACTACACCATGACAAGTATAAGGGTGTGTAGACAATCATAGGGAGTGTACTAATTTCAAAACTTGAGCTCTCAAGAGATGATGATACTCCCAGTTGCTGCCAGGAGACTTACAAAACTGCAATTCCTTGCGTTGACAAAAAGCACTAAAACCACAAGTTAAAGATCGTTGACATCCGATTATTCAATATTTATCCACAACAAATGTGAACATTAAATCCATGTCTCGTTTTAACAAAATTGTATATAAGTTTGAAGCTATATGGCCGCCATTGACAACAACAAACATCTCCTGCATTTATCATAACATTATTGTCCCTCCTAAATACACAAGACAAGTTCTCCTATCCAATGACAACATTTACAGAGGATAAAAGCACTAAACGCATAAGAATCAGAACATTAACAACCGCTTGGACATCAAAGAGAATCATTTACCCAGATTCAGCACTTGAAACTGATACTCGGCGGTAAGTGAAGTGTCAGTCTCTACTCTCTGAAACCTCCAAGACTTCGCTGTGATTCAGCTTTACCCTTTGAAACATGGAAAACCCAATTCCTTCCGCAGCAGCAGCCATGGGAATCAAACCCAATTCAGCAACAGCAGCCCATGAAAATGGTAACCAAAAACAGCATCCCAAATTCGCTCTCCCGGTGGCACAGAGCACAAGACCACGAAATTCCCACTCTACAATTTCTCCGCACCACACATGCGGGCCTTCCATCTCTCCTGGCTCTCATTCTTCGCCTGCTTCGTCTCCACTTTCGCCGCGCCTCCTTTACTCCCAATCATCCGTGACAATCTCAACCTCACCGCCGCCGAAATCGGGTACGCCGAAATCAGGTACGCCGACATCGCCTCCGTCACCGGCGCCGTCGTCGCTCGCATCGCAATGGGTGCCGCCTGCGACACGGTGGGACCCCGGCTCGCCTCCGCTTCCCTCGTCCTGATCACAGCTCCGGCGGTGTTCTTCACTCCCACGGTTTCCTCCCCTGTTTCGTTCGTCCTCGTCAGGTTCCTCACCGGCTGCTCCCTCGCCACTTTTGTCTCAACCTAGTACTAGATGAGCTCCATGTTCTCTTCCTCGGTCGTCGGAACGGCCAACGGGGTCGCCGCCGGGTGGGGGAACCTCGGCGGCGGAGCCACTCAGCTCGTCATGCCCTTCGCCGTAACCCTAATCCGTCGCTCCACTGGGGCGGCCAAATTCACCGCCTGGAGGATTGCTTTCTACGTCCATGGTCTGTTCCAGATGCTGACGGCCTTCGCCGTCTTGATCTTCGGCCAGGACTTGCCCGATGGGAATTATCGATGGCTGGAGAATTCAGGGGACGAAATCCCCCAAATCCTGTTCCATGGAGTTAGGAATTACAGGGGATGGATTCTGGCTCTGACTTATGGGTACTGCTTCGTGGTGAAATTGACGGTGGATAATGTGATTGCCGAGTATTTCTATGACCGATTCAATTTGGACCTCCAGACCGCCGGAATGATTGCAGCGAGCTTTGGATTGGCGAATTTAATTTCCAGGCCAGGGGGAGGGCGGCTGTTCGATGAGGTGGCGAAGAGGTTTGGGATGAGGGGAAGGCTGTGGACTCTATGGCTCGTTCAGACTTTAGGCGGCGTTCTTTGTGTAATTTTGGGTCGGGTCAATTCATTGGGAGGCTCCATTATTGTCATGATCCTTTTCTCGTTCTTCTGCCAAGCTGCTTGTGGCCTAACCTTTGGAGTCGTGCCCTTTGTCTCCAGAAGGTAGAAGATATATCGTTACACATTAATACCGTAACATATGTTTGCGTCGTATTTTACTAACTACACATATGTATGTATAGGTGTCAAAACATGACCCGACCCGAGTAACCCGCCCAACCAACCCGATCAGCGACCCAATTGGACTAAAAGTCAAAGACTCGCAACCCGCCCGACCCGTAACCCGCTTGACCCACAACCCGCTTGACTCGCAACCCGCTTGACCCGCAACCCGCTTGACCCGTACCCGATTGACCCGCAACCCGCTTGAACCGCAACCCGCTTGACCCGTAACCCGACTAACCCGAACCCGATTAACCCAACCCGAACCCGCCCGATTGGCACGAATAATACTACATAATATATTTTTGTGCATAAATATTAGATGTAGATAATATATATATATATATGGTGGCGTATTCGGTGCACCCACTTTTTTGGGTGCACTCAGTGCACCCGCCTCATAATTGCCATTCTAACCATGCAATTCATGTCAAAACGGTATCAATTGTTGCTTATGATATTATGAACAAGAAGCACATGAATTTGAAAAAAATTCATTCAAAATTTACTTTAATTTGAAGGATTTAGGATTTAGGGATCTAGGGTTAGGGTTTAGGTTTACAATTTGAGATTTTGGATTGGGATTAAAAATTGAAGGTTAAGGGGTTAGGGTAATTGATTGATTTGTTATGATTCTATGTAATATCATCGTATTAGATTGAGAGTACTAATTAAAGTTCAAATTTTGATATAATATGGACACTTTTAGAGTGGGTGCACTGAGTGCACCCAAAAAAGTGAGTGCGCTGAAGTAGCCACCATATATATATATATATATATATATATATATATATATATATATAAAGTTTACGTGACTTGCCCCGTTATATTTTCATCTTTCCCACCAAGAATAAAGGTTTACTTTGTGTTAACAAATAAAAACTATCATTTAATTGAATCACATAATAGTCTCACGGTCTTGGATGATAGACGAGAGGTTAGGGACTTAGGGTATTAGGGATTCGTTTTAATTTTCTGGTCTCTCTGCCTTTCAGTTGAACCAAGTAACAACAAGTTCGAATTGTAACAAACTAATTACGTGGACTAGCCACACCACACCAGATCATAATATCAGTCTACATCCCCCCCGAGAGCACATGGCACAACCCTCGGCAAAGAAATTTTGAGAGCTAAGACACATTAACCAAACCCTTGGCTAACCATCCTAGTCCTGGCCCAATGTAACCTGAAAATTCACCAAGCACCGAGCACGATGTTACTAGCAAAACAACATAAAACTACCCACAAGAGAGCATGACTTTCATAGTAGACAGCAGCTGGAATCTTGGTTGTTAAGGTTCCTCTGCTGCCACGATTTCTTAAGCACACAACTCATCATTCCAAGTCCAATTCAACCAACAGAACTGGGGAAAAATTGATAAACAGAGCATCAATGAAACGACTCAATTCAACCCAGCTCAAACCAATCAGTTGAAATACACCGCTCAAACTCAATCAAAACGCACCTGACTTGAGTCTTCCAAGCTCACGAGAGCCACCACAAGGATAAAGTTTCAATTCAGGAAATACAAAATTGATAAATCTACAATCTGATAAGTTACAAACCCTAAATTCATCCCTATCCAAAATCCCAACCCCAAGTCCACAATTGAAGAATGTAATCGAGACCAAACCATCCGGATCTTCAGAACAAGGAAGATGAGTGAAAGATTAACCTTAAGAGCCAGCGAGAAGAAGGGTCCGGGAATGGAAGATAACAAGGTGCCGGAGAAGGGGTGCTGATGGCAACGCATGTGCCTGAGGAAAAGAGCGTCTCACTAAGCTTTGTATGAGTTAAAAAGGGAGGAGATGGTTCGGTTATGCGAGGAGGAAGTGGTGGGAACTTGGAATGAGATGTGTGTGGGTTAATGGCTGATTGAGCAGCATATAGGAGAAGGTAGAAAAGGAGGAATAAGTGAGTGGCCTAGTGCCGAGTGAGTGTCCATAGAGTGGTTGAGGGAGGGAAAGGCAGGGCCGGCAACGGGGAAGGGGGAGGAGCGACCATTGCAAGGGGAGGGTAATCGGGGAAGAGAGGAAGGCGAAGCTTTTTGAAGGATTTTGGGGCTTTTTTAATGGGAGCCGAGAGTCTGGTTTTAGCTTACCCGTACTTCGGGTTTTTCTTGGTAAAGCAAATAGAGGGAGAGCCAAAAAAAATTATATGTGGAGCCATTTTCCTGGAGCCAAAATTTTTGGATAGCGGGAGAGCCAAAAAAATGCGGGACAACCAAATGGTAAACCTTGAGTCAGCTGTGAGAATTTTTGAAGTCCTAATCTTTTAGCTGTCTCATGATAACAAATTTTATTGTTTTTAAAACTTTTTTTTTAAATAATTAGTGAGTCGAAGATTAAGTTATGTGACATAAAATAAAATTTATTAATTTTCGCCTGAAATTTGCAAACTGTTCAGGGTAATTAACTAGTCATGGGAAATGAAGACTAAAAAACATCAAATTAGTTCCCGTGATTAGAACTATACAATCAAATACGGGAATTTCTTCATTGATTGTTATTATACTTCTTAGTACGGGAAACTTTACCGTGAATAAGATACGGTGACTAGAAACTAGTTTTCTTGTAGTGATTCATGGATCTATCGTCGGTTGTGGTTATTATGATAAACTATTTGTGAGTTGTGGTTCTTATGATAAACCATGCCACTGCTTAAATTATAGTTTCACAACTGATTTTTGGGATGATTCAGTGGCTGCTAGTTTTTGGGATTGTGTATCTGTAGTTTGTTGAGTCTCACTTCTACTTGAACTACAGTTTCATGACTGATTTCTGTTACCAAGCCTAGATTTGAAACTTATAGAAAATGTGTCCTTGAAGCTGCTGCATTTTTTGTGGTTTCTGAATTCTGATTGCTTTTGCTCTTTTGTACAGAAATCTTTGTAAGCTATAATGCTCTGCAAAAAAATTGGTAATTGTTACAGGTAGCAATCCTACTGTGTAATGCAGTACTATTGTGTTCTTAGAAGATGAGAAGCTTATGATATTTAGTTATTTGGTCTCATAAGCATTTCTTTTGTAAGTTGACTAAGTTCGCTTCACTGTATCTCTGCAGCAAACTTATAGCTATTGGGGTTGATAACATTTTCACTTTGATATTGGTTATGTTTGCAGATTGTACCAGCATCTACGCAACAGCAGCAGCAACAGGAACGACAGTCCAACATTGTCGTTGCTTTTTTTAGAAGCAATGGACGCCAGGGCTAGAAGAAGCAAAATTTGGGAGAATTTCACTCAAGTTGAATCAGAGGAGGAGGTAAAGCTTCAATGCAACCATTGCATGAAGGTTATTGGATACGATCCTAATAAGAATGGAACAGTTTCACTGTGGAGGCATCTTAAGATGTGCACTAAGGGAAATCTTCAAGATTAATGGAGCCTTATGTACTTTATTGTATTTCCATCATCATATTTGCTTAAATGTTATGTAATGGTCTCAACTCTCAACTATCAAGACTCAAGAGATGGTTTCATAGGTTTATGATCAAGCAATTTGTTAGCTTTTTAATTTCTTGTTGTTCAACTATTTATTTATGTTGGTTTTGTAACCTTAATGAATCCTCTACAAGGTACCAACAACTAGCAACATCAAACTTGTTTATGATATATTCAAGCAAAATCTAGTCACTCATTTGTTTAATAAAGTACCTTCATGGTTTTTTCATTGCAATATGGTGATCGGTGAGTTTGTTTTAAATTAGTGTAATAACTAATTATAAAAAAAACTCGATTGTTTGGACCGAACAACCCGCAACCCGACCTGTTGTAAGCTGCAATCCGATCAACCCGAACCCGATTGATCCGCAACCCGATCAACCCGTAACACGACTGATCCGCAACCCGATCAACCTGAACCCGCTTGACCCGCAACCCGTTTGACCCGCAACCCGATTAACCTGCGACCCGACCGAACCCGACCCGAACCCGCCCGATTGACACCTAATGTATGTAGGTCGATAGGGTTAATCTTGGGCATGACAGGAGGAGGAGGAAATGTGGGAGCGGTGATAACTCAGCTGGCATTCTTCAAAGGGTCAAAATATTCCAAGGAGAATGGAATCACATACATGGTAATAATGATCATTTGCTGCACTCTCCCTCTATGTTTGATCAACTTCCCGCAGTGGGGTGGTATGTTTTCGTCCTGTTGAAGCAACCCATCCTCATCTTCGTCCTCGTCTGCCACCGAAGAGGATTACTACATGGCTGAATGGAGCTCACATGAGAAGGAGAGAGGGTTGCATCAGGCTAGCTTGAAGTTTGCTGAAAATAGCAGGAGGGAGCGAGGAGAAGATCGGCTTGTAATACTGCACCGATGAACGACACATCCTCGTCGTCGCCAGCAGCATTCGCGGCCTGAATGAATGCTTGTCGTTTAACATGGCGTTGTAGATTGTACTATCTGATGTGTGAAGCTAGCCATGAATGAATGTTTTTTTTTTTTTTTGTGTATTCTTCTAGTGATGTACCATGTTAGCGTTGCTCTATGTAAGTAGTGTTGTACCGTGTTAGTGTTGTTTTGTGTTAAATTAATTGAGCACTAAAACAGGAAAAAATCCCAAAGTACACTAGTTGTTAAAAAAAATTCCCAAAATACATTAGTTATAAATTTTTTTCCAAAAGTACACATGTTTGAGCATCACCGTTTTTGACAAACGCAGTGAAGAGTATCACCGCGTTTGAAAAAAACGGTGAACATTTCACCGTCTTAAAAAAAAAACAGAGACGGTGAATTCATCACCGTTTTAATCAAAAACGGTGAGGCCTTCACCGTTTTAGTGGTCCACGGTGAACCGATGCGGATCGCTGACGTGGACCAACGCGGGGTATTCACCGCGTTAGACAAACACGGTGAATACCCCGTGTTTGTTTACGTCAGCGTCCCTCAAAGACGGTGAATGCCCCCCAAATAACTGCTGCGCAGTTCCTCCCCCCCCCCCCCCCCCCCCCTCCCCCAACTATAAATACCCCCTTCCCCTCCAACTTACAACTCACCCCACAACAATTTCATTTCTTTCTCCCTCCATTTATCCACTCTAGTCTCGTTCTAAGTATGCTCTGTGGTTGCGGCTAAGTTCGATCTTCCACATCAGAAAGAATTACTAGAGTTTGACCCTAAAGCCCCCGTCCCGCTAAGTTCCCGTCCCTTACAAACCTAAACCCGTCGAACCTCTGTCCGGCTTCCGCCAAAAAATGTACGAAGAGGCTTTTCGTGTAGGTTTTTGGTTTATGATTTTTTTTTAATCGAAACAATTTGATTTTGTATTTTTTTTTTATCAAAACAATCTCTGATTTCATTACTTTTTTATAGATGGGTGCCGAGATATACGATCCTCGATTGTATATCCATTATGGCCCAAGGGATGCGAGTCTCTTAACCGATCAAGAAGCTCATCGCTCCCGTGCTATTTGGGATAACAATCCGGTAATTTTTTGAGTATTCTTGCTTTATTTCATTATTTTCTAAGGTTTTATTTAGCTTTATTTAATCTAATAAATTAATATTTTCCCTATTTTTTTTAGGAATCTCTTGTTCACGTGGTTCATAAAGGGACCAATAACTTGCCCGCTTGGCATCCAAGGTTGGAGCCCTATATAGCGAGGACCGGTTTGGGAATGTTGCGTCATTTCTTGCGGATCGAAATCGAAAACGATCTGCTTACGGCAATGGCGGAACGATGGCGTTCCGAAACCCATACGTTCCACCTTCCGGAGGGGGAAATGACGATCACCCTCAAAGACGTGGCGATCCTCACCGGGATGCCTATTTCTGGGGATGCCATCATTGGTCCCACGACCAAACCCGAAGGAGGTTGGGGGCCGCTCATACGTGATCGTTTGGGCTTTGACATGCCGACCACCACTCCAATTCAAGGACGGGGGCATTCACTGTTGAATGCGGGCCAAGTGTCGGTCCCGTGGCTGGTATCTCACATCCAGCAAGAGGTGGAAATCAATGACGAGACACCGCAAGAACAAGTCGAGCGCTACGCCCGCATCTACCTCATCGGTTTGGTGGGTGGATTTTTGTTCCCCGACAAGTCCAACGGGTGGATTCAAGGCATATGGTTGCGGCAGCGCGATCGTATCGAAAAAACTAAAACGAGCGTATCTTATTCATTTGAGGTCGAAATAACGAGCCGTTTGCGGCAGCGCGATCGTATCTACAAGGAGTACATTTTAGAGTTTTAAAATACCTGGATTTCTATATAATTTTGACGAGATCCGACAATTAAACTCGTAATTCAAATGCAAGTGGTAATGAAAATTTAAACAGGCTTACAATTTAGTAGCTCTTTACAAGTAAATGCAAATTAAGATAGTGGTTGTACTGGGCAACGCCTCTTGTCGTGACCAGGTTGTCTGCACTTAGAGCATCGCTTTGGTCCCCTTCTCGTCCGTTCAACTTGATCCATCTCATTGTGTATCCTTTCAACTCTAGGACGACCTTTGGTGCGTTTTAGGTGCAACGGTGGGATAATCAACTTTCCAGCGTATATAGGCCAATACGCTTCATCTGGCATGGGGCTCAAAGCTGCATTATATGAGTTCCGTATCGCTTGTTTAGTGTAGTAAGGACTCACCAGGCTGTTTCTGTTCATGGTTATTGACTTAGCAACCGCCATTGCATGTGAACAGGGTATCCTTTCGTTCTGATACTTTTGACAAGAACACTCCCCTAATTCGTAGTGCAATTTAACCGTTTGACGATTGTGACCACGTCTCCCTCCACCCCATATACTTGTTTCGACAGCGAATATTCCTTCACTGCGGTTAAAAAGAACAACCTTATGCTACCTTGATTTTTCATCGTTCTTCTGCATTTGAGCGAATACGTCATGTGCTATTGAATGACTTTGCAACTCCCTCCCTATAGCTTGCTGTAGCCGAGCAACTCGCAACTCGTTGACCTTCCAGTAAGACATCTCCACGATGACAGAAATAGGCATGGCTCGAAGACCCTTGTACACATTATTTATACTTTCTCCATGGTTGGTAGTTGCAATGCCCCATCTGGCCCCGTTGTCCATATGGAACGTCCACATGGGCAACTCTTGACCTTCAGCCCATACTGCTCCAGCTCAGTGGGTCTGACGGATCGTTTTCATCTTCTGCTCGTACTTTTTTGGTTGATGTGCAACAGCTGAAAGGTGAAAAAAATCGTAACTGGTCAATACATGATGAATAACATCAGCTTAATAAACACAAACTTAAATCGCATAAGAAAAACATTAGTACCTGCATTCCAAAGTTGATTTTTGATGTCTTTATTCTTCCCAAATTTGTGCTGGAAATTGGCGAGCCAGTGTCGAATACACCATCGCCATTTCCATCCCCACTCGTCGGGAAAACCACCAACAGCATTCCTAATCCCCGCATGTCGATCTAAAGGGTTTACGTGCATGAGCATGCGTAGGGTTAGTTTGGTATTTTAGCTTTACTAAAACCTACGACCAACCCTAGGTGATTTGTACTTTAGGGTTGTATATATAGCTCCTGTTATTGGCTCCGCATTATACTTGAGAAAGTAATAAGAAAAGACTGAGAAGGGGTTCTCCTTCTCCGTGGATTAGTCTCATTCATACTGAACGAGGATACCACGTAAATCGCTTGTGTCGTGATCCTTTTCTTATCGTATCTTAGAGTTTTCATGGTATCAGAGCAGGTCAATTGAAGATCTAAAACAATGAGCACGGGCAGTGCCAGCGAGAGCTCAATGGTGAGCAGTGGCGGTGGTTTGGGCGGACAGATTCCTCCGGTTATTCCAGCCGGCTTGAGAATTCTAGCGTCCGACAATCCTGGACAGCTTTTTGTTGGAGAACTTCTGAATGACTCGAATTATGGCGAGTGGGTCACCGATATGACCGAAGCCCTCATCGCGAAGAACAAGATGGGGATGGTCGACGGGACGATCGTCAAACCTGTGAATGAAGAGTTGTTGGGAGCGTGGCTCCAGTGCGATGCCCTAGTGAAGGGCTGGTTGAAGACAGGGATGGAGAAAGAAGTCCGGAATTCCATCCGATATGCTAAAACCGCAAGAGACATCTGGGTTAATTTGGAGTCTCCTGTTATTCAAAATAAAGGCACGGTTGAATTTTGTGATTCGTGTATTCGTGCCAAACAAACTCGGTTGCCTTTTGCTAGAAGTACAATCAAGACCACTCGTTGTTTTCAGTTGATTCATGTGGATATATGGGGCAGTTTTAAAACCTCCACACATAGTGGTGCTCAGTATTTTCTGACTATCGTTGATGACTTCAGTCGTGCAACGTGGGTTTATTTGATGCGTTACAAATCTGATGTGGAAAGACACCTTGAGGTGTTCATTAATATGGTTCAGACACAGTTTCAACAACAGGTCACTCGGATTCAGGCGGATAATGGGATGGAGTTTCAAACAGCCCACTTGCGGTCATTCTATGAAGACCGTGGGATTGTATTGCAAACGTCGTGCACTGATACACCTCAGCAAAACGGAGTAGTCGAGCGAAAACACAGGCATCTCCTTGACACAGCTCGGGCTCTTATGTTTCGTGCGAATCTGCCGTTGAAATTCTGGGGGGAATCAGTACTCACAGCTACTTATTTGATAAATCGGCTGCCTTCCAAGGCTCTTGGGAATCGCACTCCCTACAAAGTGCTCTTAGGCAAGGTTCCAACCTATGATCATCTCCGTATTTTCGGTTGCTTGGCCTATGGAAAGGATACACACAAGGGCCTTCCAAAATTTGCAGAACGTGGACATCCCTCTATTTTCGTTGGGTACCCAGCAAATCAGAAGGGTTATCGGCTGTGGGACTTGGAAGCCAAGAAGTTTTATGTAAGCCGTGACGTTATTTTCATGGAAAATATATTTCCTTGTCATGCAGGTGTAGGCGATTTCTCCCAACCCTTGGAGAATTGTTCTTCTTCACCTGCAGTTATTGTTCCCGAAGCCGAAGAGGCCCCAGCAGCCTCGCCGATCACCCCCCAAGCGGACAGCGTTCGGGAAGAAGAAGATGCGGACAACGCAGCATCTGAGGCCATGGATCCCTCGCCTGAGAACTCGGTCGATGACCAGGTTCCACCGGATTCGCCTCCGTCAGACCCGCCGGTGCGGCGTAGCATGCAAACTCGCACCGTCCCTAAACATTTGGACGTCTACGAGGCC